GTTTTATTTTCTTGGGCTCCAAAATCACTGTGGATGGTGACTGCAGTCATGAAATTAGAAGACACTTGGTAATTGGAAGAAAAGCTATGACAAACCCAGACATTGTAATAAAAAGCAGAGACCTCACTTTACCGACAAAAGTCTGTATAGTCAAACTATGGTCTTTCCAGTTGTCATGTATGGATGTGAGAGTTAGACCATAAAGAAGACTGAGTGCTAAAGAATTGATGCTTTTTAACTGTGGTGCTGGAGAAGACTCTTGAGAGTCCGTTGGACTGCAAGGAGATCAAACTAGTCGATCCTAAAGGCAATGGCACCCCACTCCAGTACTCTTGCCTGGAAAATCCCATGGACGGAGGAGCCTGGTGGGCTGCAGTCCATCGGGTTGCTACGAGTCGGACACGACTGAGCGACTTCACTTTCACTTTCACACATTGGAGAAGGAAACGGCAACCCACTCCAGTGTTCTTGCCTTGAGAATCCCAGGGACGGGGGAGCCTGGTGGGCTGCCATCTATGGGGTCGCACAGAGTCGGACACGACTGAAGTGACTTAGCAGCAGCAGCAGAGGAAATCAACCCTGAATATTCACTGGAAGGACTGATGCTGAAGCTCCAATACTTCGGCCACCTGATGTGAAGAGCTGACTCACTGGAAAAGACCCTGATGCTGGGAAAAATTGAGGGCAGGAGGAAAAGGGGGTAACAGAAGATGAGATGTTTGGATGGTGTCACTGACTCAGTGGACATGAGTTTGAGCAAACCCCAGGAGACAGTGAAGGACAGGGAAGCCTGGTGTGGAGGACAGGAAGTGCAGTCCATGGGGTGAAGGACAGGAAGCTGCAGTCCATGGGGTTGCAAAGAGTCAGACACGGCTTAGCTATCGAACAACAACCACCACAGTCATTAGGAGTCTCAGAAGAAGAAAATGTAGAAAATGGGCATGAGGCAATATTCAAAGAGATGATGGTTAGAAATTTTCCATAAAGACTTCCACAAAGGGCCCGGACTGAAGGAGCACATTGGAGCCGGAGAAGGATAAATAAAAGGAAATGTATATCTAGATGCATCCCAGTGAAACTGCGGAATACAAAAGGAAAATCTTGTAAACAACTCGGGAGAGAAGTCAGATTACTTACCAAGGATTAGCAACTAGACTCTCCAAGGCCTTTTTTTTTCATTGACAGCAGTAGATGCAAGAGGAAAATGGAGTAAATTGTTCAGTGTGCAGAAGAAAAAGAAGTGCCTGCTGAGAAGCCAACACTGAGCTCATCTTAGCCAAGAATGAAGATGAAATATAACAACACAAGGCAGAAAGGGTTTATCACCCACAAGCTCTTATTGAAGGGATGGCTTCAGTAATAAGACAATTCAAGGTAGAATGTGTACTAAATAACAGTCAGAAAAGAAACCAGTAAAGGTACTGGTAGCTCTAAAGAAGCATTACCTATAAAAAAATAACTTGGGGGATGTTAAAACAAGGAGGGACTAAAAATTAGACAAAAATAAAATGGCAGATGGGCAAGAATATTTTAGATAAGCTGAAAACTTTTTCTTGTTTTTCCTAGAGTAGGAAGGTTCATTGAGATTTTGTTAATCATGTAAGGGTAACAGAAATAGAGATAGAATGTTCCATTCTCAACAGTTTAAGCAATAGAGGAGGAAAACAGAGAAAGTGAAGACTTCTTGACTAAGCTAGTAGAAGTCTGGGAAAGAGGAATAAAAGCAAAGAAAAATCTACAGAAAACATTAAAACAGAAGGTAGAAATAATTCTTTAAAAAATTACAATAAGTATAAGCAAGATTTTTTTTTTTTTTTGGTTAAAAGTTGGAGTTTCAGTCCCAGAAGAAAATATCAGTGTTAGACTGGGGTCCCTGTAAGTGATGGAGACCCCAAACAACAATGCCTTAAACTGGATGGACATTTATTTCCCTCACAGGAAGAGTCTTAGTTGAAATCCAGCTGTATGGTCTTCAGGCCCTTAGGCTTCTTCTGCTGGCTGCTCTGCCACTCTGAGGGTGTAGCCACATTTGTTGGTTTCCCACCTGACAGAATGGGAGCAGAAACAAAGAAGAAAGGGCACAATCAGCAGGAACCACTTATACCCGGTTAGAGAGGGCTCTGCACCTGGGACACCTGGTTGCAAAGGGTGCTGGGAAATGCAGTCTTTATCTTGCGGGACCTTGTGCCCAGCTAGAAACCAGAAGTTCTTCTACTGCAAGGGCAGAGAGCAGATCTCAAAAGGCAGATACCCAGGCTCTTCCCCACAGCTGAGTGCACATACAAGAGACACATTCAAAGCATAATGACAACTGAAAGGCTGAAACTGACAGCTTGGAAAAAATATTGACTAGGAGAGAATTAACCAAAACAAAGCTAGTGTGACTACAAAGTGGGCTATGGCGGGGAAAGTGTCGGGGGTAAATGGAGTCACAACCCGCTAAGGGAATCTAATGTTCTTAAGCTGCATGCAACTATTAATGCACTTTCCAACTAAAAATAAATCACATTTAGAGTTTGGAGATTCATTATTTCCTGAGGATGGTGTTGCTGTCAATCCAATTTGGATTACATAAACTAACCAGCAAAAATCAAGCACATTGATCACATTAAAACTTTAAACCTTGCGATTCAGTGTTCTGTCAACACATTCATATGGACCAAGTGTTGGCAACCTTTTTCTGTGAAGGGCCAGATAGTAGAGTTTAGGCTTTGCGGACCATATGATTTCTGTTGCTCTTTATAGTAGTTTGCATGGCTGAGCAGCCAAAGTCAATATACAAGTGTTGCTGTGTAGGGAATTTGACAAATAATAATTAATTGAATGCAACTTACTGACACCAAAATTTGAATTCCATAAACTTCTGTGTGTCACGAAAGCTTATTATCCTTTTGCTTTTTTCCCAACCATTACTAAAATGTGAAAACCATTCTTAGTTGGGGGCTATATCGGGCCTGTGAAGTATAGCTTGCAGATCCCTGAAATAGTCTTTTTAAAAAAATTTTATTTTTGGCTATCTCGGGTCTTAGTTGTAACATGGAGGATCTTTCCTGCATGGCATGGCCTTCCCTCTAGTTGTGGCGCACCAGCATAGTTGCCCCGCAGCATGTGGGGTCGTAGTTCCCTGATCGAATCCGTATTCCCTACACTAGAAGGTGGGTTCTTAACCAGTGGACCACCAGGGAAATCCCTGAGATAGTTTTATAATATGGAGAATCACCACTTTTGGTTAGAGAAAAACTTCTAACAGAATCACTTAAAACTGTAAAGTGACAAAAAGTGATGAGCATAGCAACAACTCTACATTAATTGCTAATTTGCCTACTTTCAATGAATGGTTTTTATAACTTTTTTTTCCCCGTGTTTGTTCTGATTATATCTATTGAAAGGTAACTTTGTCTGATTAGTCTGGTAATACAAACTGTGGGCTTATATTCTGTATCTTTTAAAAATTTCACTTTTCTAGTTTTTTATCTTACTAAAGCATTGGTCCATAACGTATTAGAAATGAAAACTGGTCCTTTACCTCCAGCTAACTTGAGAATCACTCGTTTAGGAGTTCCTGCATCTAACTGGTGCCCCTCAAAGTGCCTTGATTGGTGGCTGAGAGTGGGACGTCTAGGTTGGCCAGATCAGGTGTGAGAGCAGGGGCCTTGGTGTTCATTCAACAAAATCACAGAAATCTAAAGGTACTGTCCTGGCTGCTGCAGACACAGTAGAGGCCACTTCAGAGCAAATACCATCTTAATGGCACTCATGTTTTACTGGGAGTGGAAGACTGTGAACACAAGAACACGAACCGGGTCTCCTCGGGCCACTCATTCGGCCTGTTGGTTAGCTAGGGACCATGCCGGCTTGCTGACACCCCTTCCACATAAGTCACAGAAGCCCTGGGTTTTATTCCTAACTCTGCCTTTGGCTGACCCAGTCTCTCTGGGCCTCGGTTTTCCTGGAGGATGACCAGAAATAACACGTGTTAAGTGCTTAGCACACAACCTGGTGCCTTTTAAGAGTCTGATAAATGGCAGCTATTATGATCTCAGATTTCAGGGTGCTCAAAGATTCTGTTTCCTGGTTATTGAGATCCGGAGATGCTTGGTCCTTCCAAAATTCTGCTACGGTCTGTTTCCAATGTTTTGTGATTCTAAGTCTTTGATCATTGAGGCTTTCTGTCATACAGGCCCTGCTTCCTATGTCCTTTGCCCCTGCTTTTCCCAACCCCTGGGTTTGGGAAGTAGGGCAGTGGGTGGAGGTGGCTGGGCGGCTGCCTTCTGGTGGCCCACATTTGGAGCTGGCTGTGGCAGCCCAGGGCCCCAGAGCCAGGCTGGAAGCAGGATACCAGCCTCCAGGCCCCAGGCCTGCGTCATCAGATTGCTCCTGGCCAGGGCCACGGGGGGTGGTGGAGGAGGCACCAGTGCTGCCTCTCTGAGTGGAGACACAGCAGGACCAACCCGGCTAAGGGCGGGGAGATCCTTCTCCATGCAGGGCAGAAGAGCTCAGGCCCAGCTCTGCCGCTAATGAGCTGTGTGACCTTGGGCAAGTCTTGAAGCGTTAGGGCTGTATGTGTACCATAGGGAGGAACAGTCCCAGAGCCCTTCAGCCCCATGGTCAGTCTTTTCCTTGGCCTTTCTGGGAGGGGGCTGTGGCCAGCCTGGTGGGCCGGTGGCAAGTAAAAAGCCAACTGTGGGCTGGAATTAAGCACCGCTTTTATTAGCACAAAACATCACCAACCCAGCAAGCCCAGGGCCTGAGAATAAGTTAAGGCACAGAGAGGGGAGGGGCGACTTTCCCAGGATCAGGTAGTGGCCCGAGACCCACATGCCCCAAACTTCCTGAGCAAACTCCCCAGACGACGAGGGGACTTGAGGGTCCCGACGGGGCTTTTCCTTGGGATGAGGGAACCGAAGCCGGGCGCGGACTCCGGGAGTGCCCCTCCAAGGATGCGAGGAAGCCGCACACACTGGGGCCTCTTGGCGCCGACGCTGGATCCCGCCGTCTGCTCACTTCTCGAAGTAGGGCAGGTAGAAGAACTGGAAGCCCCGGTGACCCTTGACGGCGCAGTAGATGAAGATCACGTGGTAGACTGCAGGGCGGGGCCTATCAGTGCCGGGCCCGCCTCCGGCCCGCCCCCACCCACATCCTGCCCAGGGCCCCCGCCCACATGCCGCCCTCGCCCACCTCCCACTCGCACCTCCTGGGACCAGCAACAGGAAGCCCGGCACGAAGAAGATGGCGCTGGAAACACCTGCGGGAGGGCAGGAGGGGTCGGGTCAGGGCAGGGAGGCTCCCGGGCTGGCTCCCCGGCGGGCTCAGTGTCTGGCAAGTCTCCCTCTCCGAGGTCAAAGGGGCCGTTTCCTGCCGGGAAGGTGCTGACCGCTGGAGGAGGTGGAAGGGCTTGCCAAGGACCCCTGGTACACGAGAGGGGAGTGAGCGCTGCCTGCAGGGGTCGGAGGGGCGGCTCACCTGGCGAGGGGGCCACCTCCAGTCCCACGCCGGTCAGGATCAGCACTGCACACAAATGTAGCCGCGAGGGTGAGGGCAGGCGCCGCAGGAGGCAGAAGCTGGTGGCAGGGTGGGGACCTCCGCCCGCAACCCCCCCACATGGCTTAGGTCTGAGGAATGGTGTCCCCACCTAAGCTGAAGGCCCCCTGGGTAGAGAACCTCCAGGGGAAGCTCACCAAGCTCTGTGTTTTCAGAGCAGGTCCTGGGAAATGTCCGTGAAAGGAGAGATTTTTGTCTGCTCCTTGGTGTGGCTCCTTTAGTCAGTCAGCAAAGGTTTATGGAGCTTAACTGCTGAGTGCCTGGTACTGGGAATCCCACGGGGAACGGCAGATGAGGTCTCTGCCTCCAGGCCCTTTCAGAGTGGAGCAACCAACAAGAACCTCCAAGCTACAACCCCAGTGATGAGGCAGCTCAGGAGCCTGGGGAATCAGAGAGGGCTTCTTGGAGGCAGTGGCATCTGAGCAGGGTAGCAGCAGCAGTAGCAGTCACCATTTAGTCACCTTTTACCAGTGCTGCCAGGTGCTACCAGGCGCTGGGCCAAGTGTGTGACATGCAGTGCCTTATCTGTCACCTTGATGGAATGGACAGGTATTATCATCCCCATTGCGAAGAAGAGGAAACTGAGGCACAGCGTTCAGGGGGGGGGGTGGAGTAACTTGTCACTGGCTATATTGGGAAGGTGGAGGTAACCTGACTCCAGAGGCTTTGTTCTGGGCACCCCACAGGCAGAAAGGGAGAGCAGTGTTCCAGATGGGGGAGCAGCCTGGCAAAGGCCCAGAGTCTGGAGGGAACCTGGGGCCTTCTAGGAACTTCCAGCTTTGGGGAGACTGGAGAGGCAGAGTCCAGGTTTCAGGAGTTTGGCAGGGCCTGTAGGCCCTGGAGAGGGATGTGCACTTTGGTTAATGACAGTGGGCACTGGGGGAGCTGAGGAGGTCATGGCTGGATCAATTTTTCAGATGCTGAGAAAGTCCTGGGTCCCCAGTTACAGGATGGGATGGGCGCGGAGACGGGGAGCTGGACTCTACAGCCCTGAAGATTGGAGGGGAGTACAGCACAGAGGCTTGAAGGACCACCATGGACTGCTGTGTGGTTTGTGTCCTGCACAGAACACCTCAAAAAGGATGGGATGGCGGCTGAAACTCACTCTCAGTATCCTGGCTCATGGCTGCGGGCTCTGCCCACTCAAAGGAGGCATCTTTTTCTAATTCCTCTTTCCAATTTATGGGTTGTGGCGGCCCACAGGCCTGACAATGTCACTGATGTGGGTTTAAATCCCAGCTCATCTACCCCCCAGCTGTGACCTTTCACCTGTGTCCTTATTTTTGAACTGGGATAGTAATAATGTTTGCCCTGTCGGGTAACGAGGATAAAATATGGTAAGGCAGTTAGCCAGTGTGACTCACACATGTTGGGAAGGTGGCGGCTCCCTCCCCTGCACACACAGAACTGAGGCAAGGATGCTGCCCAGCTTTCCTGCTAGGGGGCTCTGACCTTCCTGGAGGACGGAGAGGGGATGCCACAGTTGGGCCCACGTTATAGGATCCTCTTAATCCCAACCCTAGATTCTTTCAGGGGGATCCTAATTCCTCAGCCCCACAGAATGAGGAGAAAAAGAGTCAGAAAACATCTGGCTCTGATTTCTGCCTGCTCTGGGCCTCAACTTCCCTATCTGAGTAATGGATGTGGGGGAGAGGTCCTTGTCAGTTCTCACACTCCAGAGGAAGGGAACTGACAGGTACCCTGTGGATCGGGCTGGCAGGGTACTCCGCAGTCCTGGCCACTGGGTCAGGCCTATCCTTGCTCACCTGCATCTACACTTAGGTTCTGGTTCATGGCCCTACCTCTCACTTGCTGTGTGACCTCTGTAAGGAAGCCTGCCCTGCACCTGGCTCAGAGTAGACACAGGATAAAGAGTAGCTCTTCCTCTCTCTTCCCTAGTGGGTTAAACTGACTTTAAAAAAAGGGAAATTTTGGAGCATGGACCCAGGTTCCATTTTCAACTATGTGTGATTTCTTGGCTGTGTGACCAGGAGGCTGCACCTGCCCCTCCCAAGGCCTCAGCTTCCTCGTCTGTAAAAGGGGGGTGGGGTCATGCCAGCCAGCTGCCTCCTCAGGGTGCAGAACCTGAGCAAAAGGAGGGTGGAGCCCTCATGGGGGTAGGCAGGGCATGCAGGGGGTCCTCGGGGGCACTCACCCAGCCCCAGCAGGAGAAGCAGGAAGGAGGCTAGCACTACTCGGTGGTTCTTCTGGATCAAAGGGTGTTGAGTCCAGCTGGATGGCAACAGAGCAGGAAGAGTGTGGACACGCTGACAGGAGGCCCACCGCCTCCGTGGGCACCGCCCCCGCCCCCCCCCCCCCGGCCACGGGACCGTGGGGGAGCAGCCGGGGCTGCCTGTGTGGGGGCAGGGGCCAGCGGTGCTGGGACAGGGCAGTCTCACCTGCAGCAGGCGTTGTAGGAGCGCTGAGTGTTGCTGCTGATGCTGCCAAATGACCACTGGGAGCTGCGGGTGGATGTTCGGCCAGAATCCCTGCAGGGCGGGCCGGGGGGCGGGGGGTGAGGAAGGGGACCCTTTGGGACAGGAATCATGATGACGTTGTGGGGGATGGGGCGGAGACTGGGCCGGGTGTTCCTGCAGGAGAGGGGACACTGAAAGAGGCCCGGGGTGAAGAGGAATTCAAGGGCTGGGGGTTTCTGCAGGACAAGTCACCTGTGAGAAGACAGAGGCCAAACCAGCCCGGGGGTTTCTGCAGGATAAAGAGCCTGGTGGAGGTGGGCGGGTGAGGCTGGCACTAGCATAGTGTGCAGGACAGGGGCCCCATGCGGGGGTCTCTTTAGGACAGGATGGAGAGAGCTGAGTGAGGTGAGGTGGACGACTGAGCAGGGGCCTGGGGACGGGAGCCAGAAGCCTGGGGCTAGGAGTACGGGGTGGGTCCCCACCTGGCCCTGACCTGGTGCTGACTCCCCCATCCGGCTCTGGAGAGGCCTGGGCTCCATCCTCGTCGTTCTCCAGGTTCTATTCCAGAACACAGGGCTCAGAGGAGTTACTGGGCTCAGGCCCTTCCTCACTCCCCTCTGGTGGAGAGGAAGAAAGGGAGCCCACACAGCTGTTTGCCTGGCCGCCTGACAGCTGCTCCCTCCGCCCTCCCCGCAGAACGGGTTTGGTGATTCACAGAAACTGAAACCCAGGTAGGAGTAGGAGCTGGGGGCTTTGGCAGGGCGGAGCCAGCAGGGGCTAGCTGAGGCTCCTGGGGCCAGGAGATCTCCCAAACTTTGGGAATCAGGGTGGGGGGTGTCAGCATGGCATTTCGGGGGCCCAGTATGGAGGCCCTGGATTTGGGAGGCCAGGGAAGGGCAGGCCAATCGTTTCCAGGTTTGGGGCACAGGAATCTTGTTCAGGTTCTCAAGACAAGGAGTCTAGAGATGGTGGAGGTCCTCTGGGAAAAGGGGGGTTTCCAGTTTAGTGGGCGCCATGGCACAGGCAAGGACTCACTCATCATGTGAGTCAGGGCCGTCAGCTCTGGAGGAAAGAATGCGGTGGGGACTTCCAGAACAGAAAAAGGGGTGCTGGTTCCCGTTGGATTATATGGCCTGGGGCTCTCAGGGCTGCTTCTGAGTATGGACAAAGTTTGGTTCAAGTACAGAAGAGTTCCCCATCCCTGTGGGGTAAGGAAAGGGAGGGTTAGTACCCAGGATGGACGGGGTCTCAAGGTTGGGGTCTCCAGCTGGGGTGGGGGCAAGCTCCTGGGTGTGGGCTCTCCAATAGTAGCTGCGGACTGAAATCAGAACTGAGAGGGTCTGGGCAGGGATTTGGATCAGTGGCCACCTCCCGGGGGCGGTCCCCCGCTCCGGCCGAGGCTTCTAGTCAGATTCACGAGTTGGGGTTCTCCGGGGTCCGGCCTGGGGTCCGCCCAGACTCAGGCGAGGGTGGGGTGAGGTGGGCCGGGCGGTTCACCTGGTAGCGCAGCCGGGACTGCTTGTCCTCGTCGGCCACCTCGAACCGGGCCCGGCGCTCGAAGTGCAGCGGCCCGAAGCGGGCGACCCCGCTGGGCTCGAGCCCAGGGCCCGCGTCCTCCAGGGACAGCTCGAAGGCGTCATCAATGCTGAACTGGGGCCGGGAGGCACTCATGGCCCGGGCCCGCTCAGGCGCGCTGCGCGGTCGCCATCTGCGCCCGCAGGCCCCGCCCCCGCGCGCAGGCCCCGCTCCCCGTGCAGTCGTCTAGGTTGCTCGACGGTCCGGCGCCCTGGCCGAGGCCCCGCCCTTACACAACGGCCCCGCCCCCTCCCGCCTTCAGCAGGCCAGGGCTGCCGAGCGCCGAGCAGACCGAAGGACTGGGCCCTCTCTCTTCCGGAACGAGCTGGGCTCGCCACGCCGCCCAGCGGCCGCCTCGGCCAGCGACAGCGGGTGCCGCTCTCGGAGGCAATCCTTGGGTGTATACAAGGGTCTTGGAGGAGCTGCCACGCGCCAGCCTTCCAGGCCCGAAATAGAGCTGTCTGCATCCCAGCCTGCTCCTTGAGTGCCGAGCAGGCTCCTGAGGACTGTTTTCCCACCCTTACTCACCACGGTCCTGCTCGGGAAAGGGATTGTCACCACCATGCAGTTCACTTCAGTCCAGTCGCTCAGTCGTGTCCGACTCTTAGGGACCCCGTGGACTGCAGCACGCCAGGCCTCCTTGTCCATCACCAACTCCTGAAGTTTAGTAAAACTCATGTCCATCGCGTCGCTAATGCCATCCAGCCATCTCATCCTCTGTGGTACCCTTCTCCTCCTGCCCCCAATCCCTCCCAGCATCAGGGTCTTTTCCAATGAGTCAAGTCTTCCCATGAGGTGGCCAAAGTATTGGACTTTCAACTTCAGCATCAGTCCTTCCAGTGAATATTCAGGGCTGATTTCCTTTAGGATGGACTGGTTGGATCTTCTTGCAGTCCAAGGGACTCTCAAGAGTCTTCTCCAACACCACAGTTCAAAAGCATCAATTCTTCGGCCCTCAGCTTTCTTCACAGTCCAACTCTCACATCCATACATGACCACTGGAAAAACCACAGCTTTGGCTAGATGGACCTTTGTCAGCAAAGTAATGTCTCTGCTTTTTAATATGCTGTCTAGGTGCAGATGTGGAAAAAGAGTTTATGTGGCTTGCACTGGTTTCCACGCAGCAGGCAAAGTGGTCTTTTAAAACATATCTCTCTGTTTGTCTTAAAACTTTTTTGTTTTTTAAATATGCTGCCAAGTCACTCCTCTGCAGAAAACCATCCCTTGGTTTTCCATTGTAATTAGAATAATACCTGAACTCTTTGACTAAAGTCCACACAGAGCTCTGAACGGTTGCTGCCTACCTCTCCCAATCTGATCAAGTCCCCCTCTGCCCCTCTTTCACCTCATTCAGCCACACAGGCCAAGCTCTTTCCATCTCAGGGCCTTTGCAAGTGGTTTTTTCTATGCCGGGAAAGCACTTAACCTTGCTCTTTCACTGGGGTGGGGGGTGAGGGGGATTTTTTCATCATCTGTGTCCCTGCTGTAATGTCACCTCAGAGAAGCCATGCCTGACTCTGCAATCTAAAGTCAGTTTCATATCACACAGCGCTTACCTGAAATTATGGTGTTTTACACTGTCTTATTCACAGTGTCCACTGTGCCCAGAACAGTGTTTGGCGCTAAGTAGATCCTCAATAAATATTTGTGGACGACATGAATGCTTCATTCCCAGTTCCCTAATGCTTGTGAGTATTAGGACTGGGATTTGAACTCAGGTCCCCCTAGCTCTAGGGGTGCTCACGCTCCTCCATCTACCCACCGTCTTTCACTTTGTGACTTCATGTACAGAGCTGAGTCAATACTGCACAGTTTGTGACACATCATCACTATGAACAAGGCCCCTCTTGAGTTATGTTCATTTATTTTCCTTCCTTCACCCCTGTTTTTCCTCCTGCCTTCTGTGAGACCCCACAGCAGTGTGCTCAATCCGCTGCTTTGAATCCTGTCTGGCCCTCTGCTCCACGTGGCATTGGCTCATTCGTGGGTGTGTTTGCAATTTACAAACATAGTATCCTGTATAAAACTCATTCTGTTGTTTACATTTTTACCTTCAACACTAATGTTTTCCACCTGCACCTCATTTTTGCTTCTACTAACTACATTTGGCATACTGTGTTGAGCATCCAGCGCTTTTATTATCCACCAGAGCCCTCAATGATATACACTTAGCTTGGCCTCAATGCCCCCATCACATAAGTCGCTGTTGTGAACATCTTCACACTGTCTGCTTATGAAGAGTAGAAAAAGCCCTCTTGAAGTAGGACTCCCAGGCCGTAGGGTAGATGTGCCACTGACTTAACAAAGTATCATAGATGGTCTCTTGAGTAGCTGTACAAATTTGCACTCCCATCATACAGGTTCCAGTTTTCTCTAGGCCCTCAGTATTCCAACTTTGTAATGGCCGATTAATCTAGATTTTTTGAGGGAGCTGCACCCAGAGGAATGTGGGATCTTTGCACCCTGACCAGGGATTGAACCTGTGCCCCTGGCAATGGAAGCATGGATTCTTTTTTTTTTTTTTTCCATTTATTTTTATTAGTTGGAGGCTAATTACTTTACATCATTGCAGTGGTTTTTGTCATACATTGAAATGAATTAGCCATGGATTTACATGTATTGGAAGCATGGATTCTTAACCACCGGACCACTAGGAAAGTCCTATGACTGATGAATCTAAAGTTGGGTCTCTTTTTCATCTGGTGTCTCTGACAACGGGAGAATTTGATCAGCTCTTCACGCACATGTCAGTTCATGGTGATTCCTCTTCTGTGAATTGTCTGTTCCTACCCTTTGATCATTTTTTTTTCCTGTTGTGTTTCTAGCCTTTTTCCTGCTGTATTGCATGTCTGTACTTATCTAATTAATCTCTTGCTGGTTTTTGTTGCATATATCTCCTCCTTGTTCATCTTTGTCTCCTTACTTTGTCTAAGTTGCCCTTAAAGAACCATCCTCATTTTTGTATAGTCAAATCCATTAGGTTTGTCGCACTGGCATTCCAGCCTTCTATGCGCTTGCTAGCTTTGGGATCTCGGAGGGCCAGGACAAGGTGGAGGGGAGTGAGGCACTCATCTTGGGTGAAAACTTTAAGGTGACACCAAAAAACTCAGTAAGCAAGATGAACAATATTTTAATACATTATCTTTTAATATTTGTTCAACTGTGTCATGTCTCAGTTGTGCACACAGGGTCTTCATCGTGGGATGTGGGATCTTTTCATTGTGTGTGGGCTCCAGAGATCCAGGGCCCATTAGTTGTGAAGCTCAGGTTTAACTGTATGTAGGATCTTAGCTCCCTGGCCAGGGATCAAACCTGTGTCCCCCTACATTGGAGGGCAGATTCTTAATCACTGGACCACGAGGGAAATTCTCAATGCATTATTTTTTTTTTAAATCAAATTGAAGGTAAAAATCCATGATGAACAAAATATCAAAATTTTGAATAAAAATGGGATTAGATCTTACATGATCCACTGTACCCTGATCAGGACCTTGCTTTGAGCAAGTCCCATGACCTTTCTGTGCCTCAGTTTCCTCCTTTGTCAGATGGAGCTAATAACAGTGTGTTTCCTTCGCAGGACATTAATTTAAGATTAAATTAGTACATAATCAGCAGCATAACACAGTGGCTGGCACATGTCAATACTTGATCAGTGTTAAGGATTAAAACAATTCATGAGATCCTTAACCCTATAGTTTCTACCTTTGGACAGGGTGCAAGAAGACATCCAGATTTATTTCAATGTAGAGTGAGTTTAGATAGCATATTAAAAAGCAGAGACATTACTTTGCCAACAAAGGTCCACCTAGTCAAGGCTATGGTTTTTCCAGTGGTCATGTATGGATGTGAGAGTTGGACTGTGAAGAAAGCTGAGTGCTGAAAAATTGATGCTTTTGAACTGTGGTGTTGGAGAAGACTCTTGAGAGTCCCTTGGACTGCAAGGAGATCCAACCAGTCCATCTTAAAGGAGATCAGTCCTGGGTGTTCATTGGAAGGACTGATGCTGAAGCTGAAACTGCAATACTTTGGCCACCTCACGCGAAGAGTTGACTCATTGGAAAAGACCCTGATGCTGGGAGGGATTGGGGGCAGGAGGAGAAGGGTACCACAGAGGATGAGATGGCTGGATGGCATCACCGACTCGATGGGCATGAGTCTGAGTAAACTCCGGGTGTTGGTGATGGACAGGGCGGCCTGGTGTGCTGCAATTCATGGGGTCACAAGGAGTAAGACACGACTGACCGACTGAACTGAACTGAACTGAGAGTGAATTTGTTTCCTCAGCACTATCTACCAAACAATCAGTTCATTCTCCTTCTGAACTGTGGTGCCATTTTTATCAGACATCAAGTATGTTGTTGCTAACATACATATCTATTTTAAGGTCTGATTTTGGTTCCTCTGGTTCGCTTGACTAATTCTCAGCCAGAACCATGTGCTTTTTATTACTATGGTTTGCCCTGAGGTTTAATATAGCAGGGAAAGTCCCCTGCTTTGGTCATTTTTTTCAACCTTGATCTAGCTTTTCACAGACTTTTATTCTTCTACAAAAATATTACAAAAATCTTCTATAAATATCCTCCCAATTATCACTGGGATTTCACTTAATTTTTAGATTAATTTCAGAAGAAATCACAGCTTTAAATATTAAACTGTTCTAGTCATTAACAAGGTATGCCACTTCAGTTATTTGTATTTTCTTTTATGCTCTTAAAGTTTTTTTTCTCTAAAAAGCTCTGGGCTGTGTTATTTCCTAAATACTTTCTGATTTTTATTGCTGTTTATTTTCTATTACATTTTTGGGTGGGTTATTGATAATGTTAAGAGTGTTATTAATTTTGTAACATTGCTGACTCTAATTTATTAAAATTGTAGATTCTGTTGGATTTTCTATGTAGATATAATCACTAATTTCTTTTTCTTGGTTTATTGCTTTGGCCAGGACTTCCAATACTTTGCTAAACAACATCATTGATATGGAACATTCCTTACTTTGTTCCTGATCTTGAAGGGAATGTGAGTATTTATCCATCATACTTAATTGCATATGGCTTGTGTCATTCTGATCAAGTTCCTCTTTTCCCCTATGAGTTTTTATCATAGTCATCAAAGCAAATTCCATCAGATACTTTTTTTGCATATTTTGAAATAATTATATGAGTTTTCTCCTATAATTCACTGATTTGATGAATTATAATAATGGATTTTTTTTTTTTTTGGCCAAAGGGCGTGGCATGTGGGACCTTAGTTCCCCAACCAGGGAGGAACTGAGCCTCCTGCAGTGGAAGTGTGGTCTTAAGCAGTGGCCCACCAGGGAAGTTCTGTAATGAATGTTTCTAATGTTAAACCATTCTTGGTTAAATCACTCTTGGAATGAGCCCTACTTGATCCTTTTTTTTTTTTTCTTAAAAATTATTCATTTATTTGGCTGTGTTGGATCTTAGCTGAGGTGGGCTCCAGAGCATGCAGGCTCAATAGTTGTGGTGTTCAGGCTCAGTTTCCTGAACATGTGGGATCTTAGTTGCCCAGCCAGGGATTGAACCCATTTCCCCTGCCTTGTAAGGCAGATTCTTAACCACTGAACCACTGGGAAGTCCCCTTTTTTTTCCTTTTGAGAAAGCATTTAAAAATTTTAATTGTGGGTAATACACATGAAATTTATTATCTTAAACATTTTTTAAGTGCAAATTTCAGTAATGCTTTGTCGTTGTTCAGTTTCTAAGTCATGTCCAACTCTTTGTGACCCCATGCACTGCAGCAGGCCAGGCTTCCCTTTCCTTCACTGTCTCCCGGAGCTTCCTTCAATATCTCAAACTCATATCCATTGAGTCAATGATGCCATCCAACCATCTCATTCTCTATCATCTCCTTCTCCTCCTGCTCTCAATCTTTCCCAGCATCAGGGCCTTTTCTTGTGAGTCAGCTCTTCACATCAGGTGGCCAAAGTATTGGAGCTTCAGCTTCAGCATCAGTCCTTCTAATGAATATTCAAGGTTGATTTCCTTTAGGATTAACTGGTTTGATCTCCTTGCAGCCCAAGGGACTCTCAAGAGTCTTCTCCAACACCACAGTTGGAAAGCATCAATTCTTCAGCACTCAGCCTTCTTTATGGTCCAAGTCTCACATCTGTACATGACTACTGGAAAGACCATAGCTTTGACTATAAGGACCTTTGTCAGCAAAGTGATGTCTCTGCTTTTTAATACGCTGTCTAGGTTTGTCATAGCTTTTCTTCCAAGGAGCAAGTGTCTTTTAAGTTTCATGGCTGCAGTCACCATCCACAGTGATTTTGGAACCCAGGAAAGTAAAATCTGCCACTGTTTCCATTGTTTCCCCATCTATTTGCCATGAAGTGACTGGACCAGATGCCATGATCTTCGTTTTTTGAATGTTGAGTTTTAAGCCAGCTTTTTCACTCTCTTCTTTCACCTTCATCAAGAGGCTCTTTAGTTCCACTTCACTTTCTGCCATTAGGGTGGTGTCATCTGCGTTTCTAAGGTTGTTGATATTTCTGCTGGCAATCCTGATTCCAGCTTGAGCTTCATCCAGCCCAGCATTTCAGATGATGTACTCTGCATATAAGTTAAATAAGCAGGGTGACAATATACAGCTTTGATGTATATTGTAGTAGTGCTTGTAGTAGTTGCAGTGTTGCAGTGCTATTGAATATATTCACAGGAATTGCCTAGTGGCCTACTGATTAGGATTCCAGGTTTTTGTTGCCATGGCCTGGGTTCAAACCCAGTTTGGAGAACTGAGATCCTGAAAGTCATGTGGCAAAAAAGCAAAAACACAACAACAAAAAACCATGTTCACATTGTTGTATAACCAATCTCCAGGATCTTTTCATCTTGCAAAACTAAACTGTACCCATGAAACAACTCCCCATTTCCTTCCCTCCCCCTACTCAACTACCATTTAACTTTGTCTCCATGAATTTAACTTTGTCTCTAGGTACCTCATATAAATGAAATAATGTATTAATAATATTTGTCTTTTTGTGAATGGCACTCTTTTAGCATACTGAGGCATTTTTATATATACTAGTGGATTCATTTAGGATTTTTCATATCTATGTATGTGTGTGTGCATGCACAGTCATGTCGGACTCTTTGCCACCCCAAGGACTGTAGCCCTCCAGACTCCTCTATCCATGGGATTTCCCAGGCAAGAATACTGGAGTGGGTTGTGATTTCCTACTCCTGGGGATCTTCCCGACCCAGGGATCAAACCTGACTCTCTGTGTCTCCTGCATTGCAGGCAGATTCTTTACCCCTGCGCCAACTGGGAAATCCTTCATATCTATATTTATTAGTAAAATCGGTGTAGACTTAACTTGCCTTATGGTTTAAGTATCTTTTTTAGAATCAAGATTAAACTAGTCTTATAAAATATATAGGTTGACTTTCCCTCTTTTTCCATTTTTCTGGAACAATCTGTGTAAGAATACAGACTACTTATTGCTTCAGAATTCGGCAGAACTTGCCTGTAAAACTTCCTGTGCGAGTGAAAAACAAAACACGTTTCCCTTTCGCCCCTGAAGTTCCACCTCTCTCGGGGGACTTCTTGGGGGAAATGAACCAACATAAACTTCTGAAGCCCTCAGCACGTGGGGCAAAGGGGATGGACAGTAATTCTTCCCAGTTATGACGATGGAGTCAGGACAGCGCACAGACCTCAAGACATTCCCTTTTTCGATTACCTAAACCTTGGGCTGAAAGGAGATCCAACCAGTGCATCCTAAAGGAAATCAGTCCTGAATATTCTTTGGAAGGACAGATGCTGAAGCTGAAACTCCAAAACTTTGGCCACCTGATGCAAAGAAATGACTCATTGGAAAAGACCCTGATGCTGGGAAAGACTGAAGGCAGGAGAAAGGGATGACAGAGGATGAGATGGCTGGATGGCATCACTGACTCCATGGACATGAGTTTGAGTAAGCTCTGGGAGTTGGTGATGGACAGGGAGGCCTGGCATGCTGCAGTCCATGGGGTTGCAAAGAGTCGGACACGACTGAGCGAGTGAACTGAACTGAACTGAAACCTCGAAAGTGGGAGAAGACTCTTAGAGCTATTCTTCACTAATTTCCAGAGGCGGCGAGAAACGGTTTAGCCTCTGAAGTGCCTCATTTCTGTCATTCCTGTATTCCCTAATATTCACTGGGCCTAATATTCACGCGGTGGACCCCGTGGTGACGACACGGCTAGCCCGGACCCCACAAGCGGCTGTCCGTCTCCTGGGGAGCCTACGATTTCCACGGGAATACAGAAACCCTCCTCCCCCTCCTTCTTACACCTAGATTGACTGAAGAGAAAAATTCAGGATGGACACGCACGACTATTGTGCTAGGCAAGTTAAAAGAAAAAACAAAAGGAATACACAAAAATAGTAGTTTTAGGAGGTGGCCTTACGCATGCCGGCCTTCCCTCCCCCCACTTCTGTAATGCTGTCGTGCTACTTCTACAACTTTAAATATCTTGGCACACGGCCACTTGGGAGGGCCCAAACCAAATCGTTTCAAGGACACAGTTCCTACGGACGCCCCGGGCCCCGCCCCGCCCCGCCCCACCCCGCCCCGCCCGGCAGACTCCGGCCCCGCCTCTCTCACAGGCCCCGGCCCCGCCCCTGGCCTGATACTCGCGCTCAGCCGCGGAGCAGAGAACCAATCACAGCCCGTTTCTACGTTCGGGCTCTTTTCGGCGTCTGCCCTTAGCCGAAATGGCGCCAGCTCGGAAGTTGCCGAAGTTCTAGAAGTTGCCGAAGCAAGTCCGGAAGCTGCCGAGCGAGTCCGGAAGTTGCCGAAAGAGAGCAGCGGGGAAGGAGGATGGCGGATATCATCGCAAGACTCCGGGAGGACGGGATCCAAAAGCGTGTGATACAGGAGGGCCGAGGAGCGCTCCCTGACTTTCAGGATGGAACCAAGGTTCGTGTCGACCCGCTTCCCCTTAACCCGTCGGTGGCGCGGTGCGCATGCGAGGCGGGAGGAGGCCTTAGGCGAGAGATCGCGCATGCCCAGACAGCAGTGGTCGGTGACCCTACCGCTCACATGCCGAGCTCGACGCTGATTGGCTTGGAATTAAGTAGAGGGTGAATTCGGATGCGTGAGCTCCGCCCCCTGGCTTGGCCGGGTGGCCACATAGGCCAGGGAGGCCGTCAGTCATCAATAAATATTTTGCGGTAGGTGGGGGTGTTGATCCCACTGCTTACACAGACCCAGCTCTGGAGAAGAACCCAAACGGGAAACCTGGGCTCTGGGAGGGGCCCCTGGATTGCAAGGTTCAAGGTCTGCTATAGATGGAAGGAAGGGCCTTGTGAAAACGTAGATCAGCTCCCATTGCTTAGATGGGAGAACTGAGGCCCTGGGATGCACAAACCCAGAGAACAGGCTAGGGGGGTCGGGTCTACCAGAGGAGAACCCTTTTGACAGCCTTCCTACTGCTCTTCGGCATTGGGTCTAGACAGATAAGGGCTGAGAAATAAAGAGCCCCCCATCTTCCTCCTTTGCACATCCAGGATCCTAGCTCCAGCCTCTTCCACCCCTCCCTGCCCCAGTAATGTACGCCTCCAGGTTTACCTCCTTCTGCTCACGCAGTTCCTTCTTCTGGAGGGCCTCCCAGTTGCCGCTTGTCCGTAGAGTACGGGCCTCCTGGGGGCAGCCCCTGTGCCCAGCAGAGCAGTCACACAGGACATGCATATTGAGTGAATGAGTAAAAGTCCTGGCACTGAAAATAACTGAAGTGACATATCTTCTCTTTTTTTTTTTTTTTTGGCTGTGCTGGGTTTTCATGGCTAAGCGTGGGCTTTCTCTAGTTGTGGAGAGTGGAGGCTACTCTCTAGTTGCCTCCTTCACAAGCTTCTCACTATGGAGCGCAGCCTCAGTAGCTGTGGCACACAGGCTTAATTGCCTCATAATATGTGGAATCTTCCTGGACCAGGGATCGAACCTGTGTCCCCTGCATTGGCAGGCAGATTCTTAACCTCTGGACTGCCAGGGAAGTCCTGAAGTGACATATCTTGTTGATGACTAGAACAGTTGAATATTTAAAACATACAGGGGACACCAAATGTAAGAACTACTGTGCTGACAAGAGCTGTGCAGAGATGGCAAAGGTAAAGCTCCGAGCCTGGCTCACAGGAGTGCCCTGAGGCGGAACTGCATAGCCCTAGTGATCAGTGATATATAGAGGGATGCTTCTGCAGATGAGAAGGGATGTGGATGAAGTTCCCCATGGGTTGGGGTTGGGGGGGGGGTGGTTGGTGGCCTTGAAGAAGGTCTTGGCAAGTGAGATCTTGGATGGAACAGACACCAGTTGGAGAAAACACCAAAAATAGTGATGATCTGTGAACAATGACACTGAAAGAATAGGGACAAATTAAACAAACAAACAATCACCGGCATTGATTGAGGGTTCACAAGAGCACGGTGCTCGATGCTTCACAAGTTTGCTTTCATTCTCACAAGGCGAGGTAGGTACTGTTGCTAACTCCATTTTACTGATGCGGAAACAGAGTTCAGAGGGGTGGCTAGGGGTGGGAAAGAGTGTGGGTTCCTCTAACCATATCCTGTGGAGGGTTCAGTCTCGAGACTTCTCTTCACTCACCCTGAGATGATCTCATCCAGGCTCGTGTTTTTTAAGAAACTCTCCATGCATGCCTGGACCACTCCCAAATGTGTGTGTCTAGCCTTCCCTCCTCCTTAAAGTTGATATCTGGTTCCCTACTCACCGTCTCCACCTGGATGTCTCATTGGCAACTTAACCTGCTCCCCTCAAGCCTCTCATCTCAGGGAAGGGCCCCTCCAGCCTTTTGGTTGCTCAGGCCAAAAACCTCCCAGTCTCCATGCCTCCTCCTCTCGTCCTCCTGTTCTCATACACCCACCCCACCCCCCGCCGAGAAGATCCTCAAGATACACTCAAGATCTGACCACTTCTACCACTCCCACCATGGTCCAGGCTGCCTTCGTCTCTCCCCTAGGTTATTCCAGTAACGTCTTAACTCATCTCCTGCTTCTGTATTCCCAGCTCTCCTGCCTGTCTCATCCCCACAGCAGCAGAACCTACATCAGATCATGTCCCTCCTCTCCTTTGGAGCCACCCGGTGGCTCCCATTTCAGAGTGAAAAAGTAAAGTCCTCACTACGGGCTTTAGGCTCTGTGGGGTCCCTCCCTGCTGACCTGATGACCCCGTGAGGTACCACCCCTCCCCCTGGTTCACTCTGCTCCTGCTGCTGCGCTGGCCTCCCGCTTCGTGAACACACCACACACTGCCCCTCTGCAAGGCCTTTGCACCTGCTGTTCTTTTGGCCAAGAAATTTCCCGCCCCTTCCTACCTCAGCATCTGTCTGGCTTGCTTCTCCTGTACTCCTTTCAGATCTCTGCTTTCTCTCTCTCTCTCTTTTTTTTTAGTGGGGGGAGGGCACACAGTGCAGCTTGCAGGATCCTAGTTCCCTGACCAGGGATCGAACCTGAGCCCCAGCAGTGAAACTGTCAACTCCTAACCACTGAACTGCCAGGGAGTTCCTTCAGTGACTCTGGCTCCCTGAACTCGCTGTGCCTTACCCTGCTGCGTTTTGATGTCTGATCCATAGCGTTTTGCTCCACCTCACAGAGCATGTTTTGTTTGAGGCCCATCTCTTTCCTTTAAAAGTTCCCTGTGAGCTACATGGGGGCGGGGGCTTTTGTCTGTTTTGTCAACTGCCAGGCCTAGCACAGAGCTCAGGCAGGTAGTTGTTTAGTCGCTAAGTCGTGTCCAACCCTTTGCAACCCCATGGACTGCAGCACGCCAGGCCTCCCTGTCCTTCACTGTGTCCTGGAGCTTGCGCAAAATCATGTCCATTGAGTCGGTGATGCCATCCAACCATCTCATCCTCTGTCAGTATTGCTGAAAGAATGACTAAAGCCAGACCCCTTGGGCTCTCATCCCAGCCCATCCACCCACTCGCCATGTGACTTGGACCCCTTCCCTCCTGGGTGGTGCGGTAAAGGTCAGGTGGTGAGCCCTGTCCCTTGTGTCACCTGCAGGCTGTGAGCTGGCCTTGTCCTTGTGGTTGTGGGAAGGCTGTGCCCTTGTCTGATCCCATTTGCGGCCCGCAGGCCACGTTCCACTACCGGACTCTGCGCAGTGACGAGGAGGGCGCCGTGCTGGACGACAGCCGGGTGCGTGGCAAGCCCATGGAACTCATCATCGGCAAGAAGTTCAAGCTGCCTGTGTGGGAGACCATTGTGTGCACCATGCGGGAGGGGGAGATCTCCCAGTTCTGCTGCGATGTCAAGGTACCCCATGCCCCGCGCCTGCCTGCGTCTGTCTGGCCACACCCAATTCCCCATCCTCTGCCCTGGCCGGGCCACCACCAACTCCCTCCAGGGCTCTGCACTACCAGGACACTGGCCTCCTGGCCCCTAGTCTGCCTTTTCCTCTCCTTTAGCCAGACTGCAGCCAGGGACTGGCTCTCAAATGCAATAATTGCTATAGCTCCTTGCTTCAATCCCCTCTGCTCCTGGTCACTGTTGAGTTGAAGCACAAGCCATAGATGCCCACGTGGCCCCTGCAGGGCCTCCCTCTCACTCACCTCCCTGTGTTCCCATCTCCTTCTTAGCCAACATCTTCCTTCCTACTGCAAACTAATTCCTGGGTCACCACCCCCAGGAAGCCTTCCCTGACTACTGGTGTTTGGCTTGAACCCCTCCTCTGGGTTCTCCACCCCTCATTCTGCATGGCCAGGATCTGGTCCTTTGTCTGCATCTAGGCTACTTCAGGGCAGTGACTGGGCCTGTTTACCTTGAAAGTGCCCAGTGTGGGCCAGCCCAGAGCCAAGACTCAGAACATATCTGCTGACTGGATGAACATTAGATGAGCAGTCAGCCCCAAGCCGACGACAGGGTCAGTGAGAAGAGCTGGTTAGGCGTGGGGATGGTCTGATTTCTGCCATCCCAGCAGATGTTCCTAGTGAAAGGTCAAAAGCTAGGTCCCTGGGACTTCCCTGGTGATCCAGTGGTTAAGACTCTGCACTTCCAGTGCAGGGGGCCTGGGTTGGATCCCTGGTCGGGGAACTAAGATCCTACATGCCGCGTGGCCGAAAAGTAAAAAAATAAAGTGGGCCAAGACTGAACAAAACAAAACAAAACAAAACCATAAAAAAGCTAGGTCTCCAATGCCTGAGGGTCCTCCATGAGGATTTTGAAGTTGCTGCCCTAATCCCAACTCAGAGAGGGGACCTGAAAGGGGTGGGGGTGGGGCCGGAGAGAAGAGATGCTGGGAACAGAGTGTGAAGGGCCCCTGGAAGGGTGAGGAGCCCAGCTTGTGGGCTGCAAGCCTGGGAGGAGGAGAGGTAAGAATTCCCCTGGGCTTGTCAGAGCTGGCAGACAGGTTGGCGGGGGGGGGGGGGGGGGGGGGGGGCGGAGAGAGAGAGAGAGAGAGAGGCGGGGGTCGGAAGCATGCATGTTCGGCTTGAAAGTGATGGAGGGCTGGGAGGCCAGAGGAGTCTGGAGTCTGGAGGGAAAAGTCTTCCTGGGTTTCGCCTGAACCAGGTGCTGGTTCTCTGGGCCTGTGTCCTGTCTCAGATGGTGATGGGGCAAAGGGCGGGGCCTCTTGAGCCCACTACCAGCCAGCACGTGCTGACAGAGCCCCCCATGCCCACTCACCCTCTGCAGCACGTGGTGCTGTACCCACTGGTGGCCAAGAGTCTACGCAACATCGCAGCCGGCAAGGACCCACTGGAGGGCCAGCGGCACTGCTGTGGCATCGCCCAGATGCATGAGCACAACTCCCTGGGCCACGCCGACCTGGATGCCCTGCAGCAGAACCCCCAGCCTCTCATCTTCGACATCGAGATGCTGAAGGTGAGGGGCCTCCAAGCCAAACCCCTACCGCCCAGCTTCAGAGAGGGTGCCAGCCCTGCCCGCTTGCCCAGAGCTAGGGGCCTCCCTGACTGTTCGGGGGCTGGGGTGGAATAGGCACAAGGACGCCTTGGCAGTGCCCTCCCTCCTGGGGCCCCTCCCCACTCCTCAGGTCTCTGCCAAGACAGGGCTTTTCACCATCTTGCTCATTGCTCTGTTTCTAGAACCCAGCACAGTGCTGGGCATGCAGGAGATGCTACATACATATTTGTTGAAGGGTCAGTGGATGAAGAAGTGATTCTGCTTCTTGTACCCAGTGTCCTGGGCCCGGCCAGCCCAGGGATTGAGCCCGGGTCCTGAGCTGGCTTATGCCCCGGCAGGTGGAGAACCCTGGCACGTACCAGCAGGACCCGTGGGCAATGACGGATGAAGAGAAGGCAAAGGCGGTGCCGGTCATCCACCAGGAGGGTAACCGATTGTACCGTGAGGGCCACGTGAAGGAGGCCGCTGCCAAGTACTATGACGCCATCGCCTGCCTCAAGAACCTTCAGATGAAGGTGCTGCCTGGAGGCTGCGGTGGGTGAGGGGAGGGGTCAGGTGGGGTCCAGGGGGCCCAGGTTTCAGCATCTTTTGCTCTCTCCCTGCCTCCGTGCCCCCAGGAACAGCCTGGGTCCCCCGACTGGATCCAGCTGGATCAGCAGATCACCCCACTGCTGCTCAACTACTGTCAGTGCAAGCTGGTGGCCGAAGAGTATTACGAAGTGCTGGATCACTGCTCCTCCATCCTCAATAAGTATGATGGTGAGTGCTGGGTCGCCAAGGCAGGGGGCCAGCAGGTGGTCAGGCATGCGGCCTCCTCCATCGCCTCTGGGCCTTCAATATCACCCCCGTTCTGGACTCGCATGGGAGCCTGACCCAATATCTCCTACCCAGGTGGGGCCGTGGGCCCTGCTGTCAGCGAGGTACGAATGGGGCTTGGGGGCGGGGTTGGCATCCTCAGGGCAGAAGGGCTTCATTCACGCTGGGCCCCTGGTGCCAGAAGTCACAGTGGGGTGCAGGTTGGCCCCCGTTTCTCATGCCCTCATGTGTTTGCCGCCCACTGGTGCCCCCTGCAGACAATGTCAAGGCCTACTTCAAGCGTGGCAAGGCCCACGCGGCGGTGTGGAATGCCCAGGAGGCCCAGGCTGACTTTGCCAAGGTGTTGCAGCTGGACCCGGCCCTGGGGCCTGTGGTGAGCCGTGAGCTGCGGGCCCTGGAGGCGCGGATCCGCCAGAAGGACGAGGAGGACAAGGCCCGCTTCCGGGGCATCTTCTCCCACTGATGGGGCCCTGCCGGCCCGGCTGCCCTGCCCGCTGCTGCTGCCAGCCCACCCCCACCCCACTATATCATGCTTCTCTGTATATAAAGGCCTTATTTATCTGTCTCTCTCTCCCTCTCTGGGCCTGCCGAGCTGATCCACTGGGAAAGCTGGGGTCATTGCCCCTCATTTCCTGGTACTCGGGTGGTTTGGGAGGCAAACAATTGGGGTTCTAATCCCAGTTCCCCGTTCATCAGCTCTGAGACCTCTTTGGGCCTCCATGTGCCTGACAGAGAGACGAGCATGGTCTCTGTCACAAGGGAAGTGTTTCTTGCTGGCCAGGGCCAAGGTTCCTGGGAGCCTTCAGTCTTAAGCGGGGAGAGGAAGCAAGTGCAAGCCAAGAGGCTTAGTGCCTGGGTGAGGTGGGCTCCCAGTGCGGCCCTCCCCATCGCCCCCTCCCAACCCCCAGTCCCATGGCCTCAGCGCATGCAGGCAGTGGCTCCCGTGAGAAGCCAAGTCTGGGCCCCTGGGAACTGAAAGGCCGGCCCAGGTGGGGAGGGGAGGCTGACTCTCCAGGCCCCAGTCCAGGCCCTGCCCTCTGACCTGCTGCCTGACCCTGGGCACATCCCAGCTCCTCTGCCCTTCAGCATCTCTGTTGAACTAGAAACTGTGAGCTGGGCCGCCCTGGGATGCTACAGTGGTGGGCAGTCAGGCGGGATGCAGGCGGTGTTTATTTCCGTGGAGTCACACACGCTGGAAAAGCCTCTGGACCCTTGCTGCTCCTTCCTCCAGCCCCCAGGGCTGGGTCCCCTAGCATGAAAGGGAACTAACACTGAGAGCAAAGAGATGCAGGCTGTGGGGCTAGGGCCCCAGCCTTCCACAGGCAGCCACAGGGGCTCCTCAAGTGTATGAATAAATAACCCAAGTCCAGCCACAGTTGGGACCTCACTCTTCACTGTCCAGCTTGAGGCTGATGCTCCGCGCCTTGCCCCGCGCCAGGGTGGTGGGCGGGGTCCCTGGGCCCTCCCGCTCCGCCTGGCTGGGGCCCCTTGAGCGGAGCAGCTGGCTCTGTTTCCGGAGGAAGTCCACAGGGGCAGCCCCGCCATAGCTGCTCTTGGCCAGGGCGGCCCTTGAGGGTCCCGCGGTAGCATGAGGGTGGGAGCCAGCCTCCAGCTGGCCCAGGTGGGCCACGTAGCCATCGGACAGGAACTGCGGGCAGAGGTGGGCCGGGTGAGGGGATGGCTGGTCTCGGGCCCACACACTGCCCTCACCTGCCCTTCCTAGGCTCTGGGCAGTGCTGGCTGCAGTACCGGGCTGGCACAGCCTGACCAAACCCCACCAGGGAGCCTGCCCCTCTCTGAGCCTCGTCCTGAGTTTTCTCATCTGTAAAATGGGGTTTTGGAGGGAAGTAACAGCAGCTGACATTTAGCAGGCACTTGCTTTGTGCCTAGGCCAGTGCTCGCTGACATGCAGTAAATTACGGTCTCTTCGTGACAGCTGCGGAGATCTGCGCAGGTTTATCCTTTCCATTTTACAGACAGGAAAGTGAGGCTCAGAGAGGTCAAGGCTTGTGCCCAGAACCATGCCAGCGTGGAACGAGCACCCAAGGTCTTGCTCATACTCCAGCTTGAGTTACCCATTCTGGCCTGCCCGGCAGCTTCCAGCTGCTCCTGACCTCCCTGATCCTAGGAGAAGCCCAATTTTCCCGAAGCCGGCCAGCCTGTTCCTGCCTCCCTCCTAGGTGCTTCTTAACAACACAAGTAGTCCTCACGGCCCAGACTCAGGCTCCCAAGCCCCAGCTGGCTCGCAGCCCCACCCTCATCGGCCCTCACCTGGCACTGCGCCTGCAGCTTCCGCACGGCGCGGCCCACGATGTAGGTCTGGCTAGCAGGCAGGCCCAGCGCCGCATACACGGCCACGTCTTTGGGGGACCCGTAGCCGGCCACGAAGTTCAGTTCCACCTGTGGCCGGAGAGGCCAATCAGCAGACCCCCGGGGGGGGGGCGGGGCGGGAGACAGGGGGTGGGGTCTGGTGGGCGTTCAGTGCGAAAGGCTTAGGGGCGGGGCCGCCTGGTCTCCATCACCAGGTCTGGCTGGGACGGTGGGACCAGCCTTGTCCTCAAGGACTCTAGAGATCCCTGCGGGGATGTGCAGTCTGTTAGCCTGGGAGCCGGGGCCATGCGGCTGGGAACAAATGGGCCTCCTCCCGGGGCAATCGCGGGGTTCGGGGGCCCTCCCCAGCCACCACACCTCCTGCACCAGGCTCTGCAGGAACATCAACTTCTGGCGCAGTGGGTCGTGAGTGAGGCCATCGCAGAAGGAGACGACGCCGTGGGGGAAGTTGTGCTGCGACAGCCAGGCCACCACGCGGTGCTTCTGCATATCGGGACGGCCCGTCACGTACACGATCAGGTAGCCCGCGTCCTGCCAGTGCCTGCAGGGTGGGGCGGCGGTCAGCCCCGAGCGCCAGGGGTGGAGACCAGTCCTCACCGCGAGCCGGGGAAGGGAAGGGGCAGCCTTTCCTACCTGACCACGTCCACGGCGCCGGCGCGCACCTTGGGGTCGCTGCCCATGATGGACACACTGGCGGTGAAGGAGCCGTCGATGCTGAAGACCACGGCCTCAGTGCCGCGGGCCACCACCGTTAGGCAGCACTCGGCGTAGGTGTGGTCGCCCCTACAGCCCGGGGGAAGGGGCTGTGTGAGCGGCGTGGGGGCGGAGCCCACGGGAGCCCCGCCCCGCAGAGGCCGGGCCCACCCCGCGCTCACCTGACCACCATGCGCACCGGGTAAACGCCGACTCCCAGAGCACGCTCCAGGGGCACTGGGAAGGTGAGACGGCCCGAGCTGTTGGTGACCTCGGTGCCAAAGTGGATCCACTTGCCCGACAGCGGCTGCGTCATGATGTAGATGTCCACCTAGCAGGGAGAGAGGGCCAGAGGGTCCTCCTGAGCGGTGCGGAGCTGAGCGGAGGAGGGCTGAGGCGGGGGAAGGAGGACCGGGTTGGGGGATCAAGCCGGCAGGACCCGCAGCTGTCCAGGGAACAGGAAGCGGGACTGGGGAGCTCCCGCTTGGGGCCAGGTCAGGGCCCCCCGGGGGGGGGGCGGTCTACATGGGCCTGAGGCCTCTGTGTTCTAACCTTCTCTCCCGTGAGCGTGACCACATCCAAGGGTCCGTACATGAAGCGCCCGTTCAGCACCTGGGGGCGGCCCTCGCACACCACCGTGTCGCTCGCCCGGTGGTTGGAGGTGACGTTCTGGCGGGAGGAGACAGTGTGAGCCCGCAGCCAGGAGATGACAGGGAGGCGGGAAGAGCTGATGAGGGGGACCCGCGCCCAGACGTGTGTGCGCGCTGCCTGGAGGAGGCGGGCCCGCTTGCTGCGAGAGAGGGGCGAGGCCCGAGGGGTGGGCACTTCTGCTGACCCCGATCAGAGGTCGTGGGGGGGTCCTCTGTGCGGACTGCAGTTCCAAGGGGCGGAGGCGATACAGACCCGGTGCAGAGGCTGAGAGGGGCGAGGCGAGCGCCAATCCGAGACCGGACTTGGCGGAGGGGGCGGGGAAGAGGGAGGGGAGGAGACTCGGTGGTGCCCAGGGGCGGGGCCGAGGCAGGAGGAGGCGGGACCTGGGAGGGGCTTAGGGGCGGGGATCCCAGGGAGACTTGAGGTCGTCAGGGGCGGGGCACGGACCCGAATCTTGACTTGGGTGCGTTTGCGCTGCCACTTCTCCCTGGGGAAGGCCGGGCTGTAGATGGATGGTTCCTCGCACTCGGTCAGGTGTGGCCGCTCCTTCTCGATCACCTGTGCGGGATGGGCCCCAGCAAGGCCACGTGAAGTGGGGGGCGGGGGAAGGGTCCCTGGGACTGCCCCTCCCCCAGCCCCGGCTCCCTATCCTTGCCCACTTCCCACCCCCCCACCCCCACCCCGTATCCTTGGGCCCACCTGTCGCAGGATGAAGGCCACCACGTCGGCCGACTCCCAGTAGCTGGCGTGGAAGAGGTGGGGCAGCGTGACGGTGGGGAAGGCGGTGAGCGCCTCCGGGCAGTACAGCGAGTAGTCAATCCGCTTGGTCCCCCACCAGCGCTCCAGGACTGCTCGGCCACGGTGGGCAGTGAGTCAGGGATGGCCTCCCACCCCAGGCCCACCTGTCTGGCCTCTCGGGCTCTTCCCTCCCTCTCTTCCACCAGCCCTGCTCTTTGCTGAGTCCAGAGTTGGGTGCTGGGGCCCCCTCGTTCCAGAGCAAATGCTCTGGGGCAAGGGTGTCTCTGCTGGGCTTCAGCAGTGGAACAAGCATCCGCACCCCCGCCACTGCCCCCCACCCCCAGGCGGGATGGCTGGCTGGACTTACTCTTAACCACCTCACTAGTGGTGCTGGGGGCAGTTGGCTGGGCTGGCAGGTCACCGCCCAACTCACTGCCCTTCCAGAAAGCACCGCTGGCAGACGTGGGCGTTGAGGGCACCAACATCTCCAGCTCCTCCAGAAAGAGGCCTGAGTGGGTCTGCAGAGTGTCGGCTGTGGGTGAAGGGCAGCCTCAGTGGTGGGCAGGGCCAGGCCTCCGTCCTGTCTTCCCACTGGGGTTCCAGGACCGCTCCGCCCTGCACCTCCCCCATCTCTGCTGCCAGCCTTCCCTGGTCAGGTCTTGGCTGAGGCTGAACTGCCCCAGCGTGTGGGTGGATGCGAAGGGTGGGGGCATTCTCCCCTCTTAGCTCACCCCAGCAGCATTCCTGCCAGAATGCCTGCCACCATCACCCCAGTCCAAGCCCGCTTGTCTCATGGGGCCAGATGGGTACTCACTTACATGCATGTGTACACAACCCACACCAGGACGTGAACTCAAGTGCCCATGGAGACACAACTGCATCCCTAGACATGGATACAGCACCCCTTCACCCCCCGCCCCAGTGGCGGGTGGCTGCTCTCGAAGTCACTGCCTCCTTTCTTTAGCCCAGTCACCACCACTGCCCCCAGCATCTGGGCAGAGGGTCTTGGGGATCCAGACTGCCCAAGGGGCCAGGGGAGGGCTCCTGGTC